ACTTTTCCCACTCCCTGACATCCTTAAGCAAGTCGCTGTCTCCTGTGACTTTTCCCACTCCCTGACATCCTTAGCCCTCTTCTTTCTGGGTTCTGCTAAGAAGTTGTAGTTTTTTTCTGAACCTGCTGGCCTGGCCTGCCTCCCTCCACTCCCTGCCAGCCCCAATCCCAGCCCCACCCCTAGCCCTGGACCTACTCTCTGGGCTTCTCTTGTCTGCCATTTTATCCTGGATGAACCAAACTTGCTAGTTAATTTTATAACATCATCTTTCTGATGTCACTATTTTAAAACATTTATTCAAGGGTTTAGGATATTTTTTCTTTTTATAAATGTAATAAATATTCACTGTAAGAGTTTTAGAAAACAAAAAGGCACCAAGAAGAAATAAAAATTACAGAAAATTTCACTATCCAGTAAATTTCACTATCTCAATAACCACTAGGAACATTTTGGAATATGTGTTTCTCATCTTTTTATAATGTGTATCTACCCAGAAAAGTCACCTGGGATTATACTACACACAATCTTCATAATATGTTTTTTGCATTAACAGCATTGTGAATATTTTTCCTATATAATTACTTATTTTTCTACTACTAGCTTTAATTGCTGCATCATAGTACATTCTATGAATTCATTTAATTTGCTACTCATGAATACTAAATTAATTTTGTCTTATGATATAAATAATATACAAAAAATGATCTATATTGCTTAATCTTTGTACATATCCTAATTATTTCCTCAGAAATAAAACTACTGGTTCAAAGGCATTTACATTTTTAAGACTTTTGATACAAATCATCAAATTGCTCTTTAAAATGTTTGAATCTAAACTCTTTATCAGCAGTGTTCAAGAATAACTACTACTCTAAACCACATCTTATCTTTTTTCAATGTTTGAAATTTGGAGATGAAATATGGTGTCTAATTATAACTTGTATGTCTTTGATTGCTAGTAAGGCTAAACTTTTTTATTTTTCAAATGTTTCTTGGTGCCTTATCATGTTCTTTTGTGTGCTCAGGACATGGAATCTGTCCATCCACTTATTGGCCGTGTAAACTTAGGAAAACTGCTTATTTTTCTCACCTCCAGTGTTTTCTCCTATAAAAAAAAAAAAGGAATGATATGTTTACATACCCCCTAGGGCTGCTGTGAGGATAAAATGAGATAATGCAGACGGAGTACTGAAAATGCCTGGCACATAGTGAGCATGAAATAAATGGTAGCCATTTTTCTTTGCCTAATTTTTTACTAGATTATTTGTTTGTTTTTTCTATTTATAAGAATCCCTGTTTCTTTAGTGGCAACACCACTCCATATCACACAGAATAGTAATAATAGCTACCATTTATTGCTTAGGTGCTATAAGCCAGGTATTGAGACATTCGCATTGCATACGATATCTCATTAAATCCTCGGGAACATCTGATTCCTATTTCTTCATCAATCTAAATATCTAAATAGTCATCAAGTACTATTAGTTCACAAATTGGATCCAAACTGTTCCTTCCTCCTCCAGTGCCATTTAGAACATTACATGCTGCCCAGGACTAATGAGATGTCCTCTAAACTGAACTCTCTAATTCCAGATGGCTTTGCTGCTTTCCAATGCCATTTTTGTTTCGTTTTGTTTTTGAGACGGAGTCTCGGAGTCTCGCTCTCTGTCGCCCAGGCTGGAGTGCAGTGGCCGGATCTCAGCTCATTGCAAGCTCCGCCTCTTGGGTTCCCACCATTCTCCTGCCTCAGCCTCCTGAGTAGCTGGGACTACAGGCGCCCGCCACCTCGCCTGGCTAATTTTTTGGGTTTTTTTTTTTTTTAGTAGAGACGGGATTTCACCGTATTAGCCAGGATGGTCTCAATCTCCTGACCTCGTAATCCGCCTGCCTCGGCCTCCCAAAGTGCTGGGATTACAGGCGTAAGCCACCGTGCCTGGCCTCCAATACCACTTTTAAAGACACAACTGCCAGAAAAATGATCATTTAGTAATTTCAGAATAGCAGAACCCATAATAATTTTTTTAAAGCTCAAAATATTTGATGGCTCCAGTGACCTCCTGGCCAGTATTCAAAGCCCCCCACAATCTGTCTCTGGTCTAACTTTTCAGCTGTGGGACCCCTACTTCCACTCTTTCCTTTCTCTGCAACCCTGCCTTTACACACACATTCACACACCCTGCAAACACTTGGCTGTAAGCTCTCATTATACTACTCTTTCACCTGTGTCTTTTTTCACTTAACTCCACAAATCCCAAGCATCTGCTATGTTTCAGGCACTGTTCTCTAGGCATCTCTCTTTCTCTATGCAAATCTTATGGGTTATGTTTCTCCCTCCTACTAAATGATATACCATGGTGGGATTTTCCTTCCATAATCATTAATAATTATTTGTGTATTCAAAAGCTGTGTCATCACCTCTTTGCAGGTACTGTTAGTTCAAGGGCTCACGTTGGGGGAAAAGATTTAGTACTACAGGAGTGTGTGCAGGCAGGAGGTATGTTGAGAACACAGTGTCTTCTCACAGAGATTTTTATAGCCAAGCTATATGAGAGAGGACGAGCAGACCAGAAAAGGAGGAATAAGTGATAGAGACATATTAACTTTTAAAACCAAGAAAGCTACCCTGTTTCTAAGTTATCTTCTTGGACACACCCATTTTCCTACAGGAAAGAAAGATGTAATGAGGGAGGAAAGAAAACTATGCTTTCCACATGTTATGTAGATGTTATTATTCCCACTTAAAAGATAAGGAAATCCAGGTTTGAGGTTGTGAAACAATCTGCCTAACGTCATACAGTGAGATGATGAAATAATTATGATTCCAACCCAGTCTTTTTGACTCCAGCATCAATCTTATTTCCTATACACAGGCTGATGGCTAAAGAAAGAAAAAACTGAAACCTTGATTTGGACCGCTTCTATCCTTCACCTCCCAGCCAGGACCTCGCTCAACAGTTCTCACGAATGCCTTCTCAAAATCCCCATGCCAGGATCCCCAGGGGTCCTCTTCAAGCAGCTCGCTCTGACAAATGACTCAGGCACCAGAACAGGAGCTTTCAAAGTGAATATGCTGCATCATAATTTTCTCTGCCTCTCTTGTTTCACTTAAGCAAAGGGAGAGCTTTGCAAGCATGTGGATCCTTCTTGGCCATTACCCTTAGCAACAACATTAATCTTTGAACTCTTCACCATCATTTACTTAAGAGCAATGACATGCCCAGAGATATTCCATGACTGATGGCAAAGTTACTAAACATCTAGATTTCCCGATGCATTTTTTTCTTCCTTTCACCCTGTCATTTCCATGTTAAGACAAAAAGTGTTGTTGTTCAGAGGCCTTCCCAGAAATAGCAAGCAGTTATTATTTAGGGAAGTTCAGGCAAGGATTAGAAGAAGTTGCCCTTTTCTGGCATCCTTTGTTGCGCCCTGCTCCTACATCCCCACTGTCCCATTCACTAGTTCCTGTCTCTCCTGCTCACTCTTTGACCATGATTCATTCTTCTTACTTAGTTTAGAGTGGGTCAGTTTTAGTGGAGTATTTTATAGTGTTTATCCTCCGTTCCTTCCTTTTCATCTTTTTGCTGCCACATTCTTTTGGCAAACATTTGCTGAGGATCTACTGCGTGCCAGGCTCTGTGCCAGCAGCTGGGCTTCATAATTTCATTTCTGACAATCACAATAGCTTCCAAATGGATATCCCTGCCTTAAGTTTCTCCCCGAATCCATCTACTACATCCTGCTGCCAAACCAATCTGTCTAAACTCTACTTTGTAAACAGTACTCTCCACCCATCTGTCCATGGGATTAAGTCCCTACCTATTAGCTCTCTTGTATCTGTCCTATAGATGCCTTTTAGACTTTTACATTGTGAGGTCCAGGGTGTTCTATTTATTTACTCCCCGGCATGCCATGTGCATTTCCACCTCGGTGTCTCATAGCTCTCTAAATTTTCAAGTCCTACTCCATGTCCACTTAATAAATGCTTGGAGGCAAACTCCATCCCTGGGACAGCAGAGGATGTGGCCTAACTAATACGTTCTAGTTAAGGAGGAAAACTAACTTAACACTTCTACCTAAGAGGAGTCTGAATGTCCCAGCCTCAGGGATGAGAAGCAATACTCACCATGTGACCTTGCTAAATCCTGAAACTAGAATTCCCATCAAATCACTCTTCCATTCACTCGGTCATTCGATAAAATAGTTTTTGAGTATCACCTATATGCTAGGCATCGTGATGAGTGCTAGGGAACAACAGCGAGTAAGAGAAACAGGTTCCTGCCCTCATAAAGATTTTAGCCTAGGAAAAAGGACACATTAAACATACAAACAAGTACAATATGTGAGTAAATAAAACATTAAAAGTAATGGCGAACTGTGATTACTTTTGCACTAACCTATAATAGAAATGTGGAGTGTTAATGAAAAGAGAAATAAGTATTGTGATGCAGCAAGGTAGGATATGCTACTAGAGACAGGAGGTGCTATCAAAGAAGGTCTCTGAAGAAGAGGCATTTAAGCAGAAATCCAAATGGTGAAGTCAAGCATTCAAAGAGATACTACAGGCTCTTGAACAGCAAGTACACAGACACAGACACACACATACACACACAAACACACACACACACACCCCCAAAGCCAATGCAGGTCAATAACCTCACTCCTCACCGGCTTTGGTCTTATGTGTAATTCTTTTGTTCAGTGGGGATGTGACAGCCAGCCCCATCTATCATAACCATAATAGCTTCTCTTTTGAGTACACAAACAGCTAAGCCTTTGGTTTGCAGATCTTTAAAATGATTTAAATTTCATCTATATAGTTTTTCTACTTTGCTGTGCTAACAGGGTGATTTATTTCCAACTCAAATTTGCATAATATTTCTAGAATCCAACATAGCACCCTGGTGATACTCATCACTCTGTACATTGAAAATAATTGTTAGTTACTTTTTAGAGTTGGTATATACCAGCTCTTTAAAAAATCTGTAAGTTGCTTTCCATACCTCGTTGATTAACTGGATCTTTAGCTACGTAGGCAACATAGTCTGTAGTATCCTATAAAAAAGGGAAAATGACTGTATTTAAAATGGATGAACTGCACTGTTGAAAGAAACATATATTTCGGACATGATACTGAGGCAAGGACTTAAATACAAATGTTTTTATTTAAAGAGACAAGAAAAGCATTGTAAAAGGGAACATAAACAAATATACACTATATAGTTTAACAATTATGGAGTCCATGTTCTCTGTCCATTGGGGAAAGAATCAGAAAATTAAAAATTTAGAGGCAGACTGTCATTAAGAATAAAATAGAAAGCAGATAGGGAATATGTTAGGACATATTCTTTAAAAATGGCTAGGGACTATGATGCTATCCTAGATTGAAAGTTGAAGTATCAGGGATTATGCAATCACAAAGGTGACATAAACTAAGATAGGGCATCATGATTTCCTGTTGTCCAAACATATACCACATATATCAGAAAGTAAGTTGACTAAAGAGACATGTTGGATTTTGTGGTTGTTAGCTTGCTTGTATGCAGTGCAAGTTAACTTAAGGGATGATAAAGTGAAAATACAATGAATTTATTTGATCAATATACAGAAAAGAAAAATCATTTTTTAAAAAAAGAGAACCCCTGAAAAACTTAAGAAGTTCAAAAAGAGATGCACTGCTGACTTTGTAAAAACAAACAAACAAAATGCCACTTGGTAATCCCAGTTTTTATCGAAAACAATAAGCTGATGAATGATAAGGTTTTAATAATTAAAGATGCTTTTTGTTATCTAAGTTCTCGGGAAAAAAATACACACAATGCCATTTGCAGATCAGAAGTATGACTCTCTAGAGGGAAGATGCAATCAACTGGCAGGAAATAAAAGCCCATGTTTGTAATACCCTCAAGGACAATCACTTAATAACCCACAATGAATCATCACACAGGAAGCGGATCTCAGGGTCAGCATAACTCGTCTTGGGCAATTAAAAAAAAAATAATAACACATACCTAAGTAAATTTCTCTTATGCAAAAAGAAAAAAGGTTTTAAATATCCGCTAAATAAATAACGCCATATCTATGGGCTTTGTTTTACGTGAATTTAGAAGGAAAAGCACAATTGCTAGGGACTTTGCCACTCTTATTCAAGTGACGAGGTGGTCTGATGCCAGTCATGCTGTCTGGTAGGTCCAATTATGGGAAAGAGGCTGTGAGACCTCTCCAGACCTCAGTTTCCTCATCTTCAAAACAGCCTCCAACGCTGGTATAGTTCTAAAATTCTATAGCTGTAAACATTTGGGAGAATTTACAGAATGCTAAAAGTAAAGCACAAATAGCAAGGGAAAATATGTTTAAATGTATTTAATTTTTGACATATTCACAATGCATTTGTTAAGTGGAGAAAGTATATATAGCCATAGAGACATTACCAACAAATGTTTTCAGGGCTGACGGATGGAAAACAAGTTAACTGTTTTTGCAAAGAGAGTAAAAATGAGGGTGAGCAAAGGCCAAGAGATGAGAAGACTATTCATTATTTTTGAAATTTTGGAGGAAATCTTGGAGAAAGATTACTATGTTGGACCAAAGGGACTTTGAAGTCAGCTTCCTACCCTTGTATGTAGTTCGCCTTAAAGCTGTAAACTATCTCGGTTAGTATCCTAAAACAAATATGGGCATGTGTTAGCAATAGTGGTAGTAGTTACTTCTTGTGACGGTGTGCCAGGCACTGTGCTAACACTAACCACACATCATTTCACTTAATTCCCACAACACTGTCAGGCAATAGGGATTATCCTCCATTTACACATGAGGACTCTGGAGTTTAGGGAATTTAAATAAGTCAAGTCTACTTGACTCCAAAGCCTGGCAGTACATCACACTGCCTCCCCGACCTGATGGTAAAACTTCATAGAGATGATTTCTAATGCCAGTGCTTAGGGTGGCTCCAGACTTCTATTTTACTAGACAGGTGCTTTAACCAACTAAGCCATGGCACTGCCGCCAGATTTCTATTTTAAATTTGAATCAACAGGCTTTCTCACCAGCTTCAGAGAGCACAGAGGTGCTCTCAATGCAGCAGGTACAAACCTTCCCCATAGTTGCCACAAATTATTTACTGTTTGTTTTTGATAGGAACGGTGCTTTGGTCAATTTAAAGAACTAAAGGCACGTGAAGAGAGTATGAAAAGATTTAAGATTCTGGAGAACAATAATAGAAATCATTCAGGGCATGCCTTGAGTAAATGAGTGTTTGCACACCAATCTAACATGATGACAACCCTGGAGAAATTTAGGGCAAACACCAATAATTATTTTTCATACTACACGTATAAACACTACTTTAAATCTCTTAAGAAAAGTATTTGAATTCCTTCATGGATGACTGAGCTAGGAAGACGAGAAAGTGCTGGTATTTTTCAGCCCGGATTCAGTAGACCCTCTCTGCCAGCCATCATCCTTGGTGTTGCTAATGAGGCCAGATTACAAGGCTGGATGGAAAAGAGTCCAGATAGGCTCTTGGGTTCAAATAGCAGCTGCTAAGCACCTGACACTTTGTATGTCCCTTATTTGCTAATGGGAATTCACAATTAGGCATCTGTGGAATTTCTTGGGGAAAAGGTAGAACTCTTAACATTTGGTTTACTTTTAAAAATGGCAGCATCATAGAACTAATATATAATAGTTATTTGAAAATAACTACACCCCAGGCTAAAAGATGAGGAAGTAGTAATGCCTAAAGGGGAAACTGAATAACCATTAATTAGAAAACAAGGGTTTGAAATCCTATGAAGGCTGCTTTTCTTCCATGTGCTTCGTGAGCCAAGATCATGCCACTGCACTCCAGCCTGAGTGACAAGAGTGAGATTACGTCTCAAAAAAAAAAAAAAAAAAAAGCATGTCTTGGTTTGACATGCTTAAATACTTTGGGTCATTGGTAGCCAATGTGAAGACAAGTAATTATTGAGGTGTTTTTAAGAATTGGCTAATTTAAATAGCATTTAGCTACATATTTTATACACAGGTAAGTTACACCAACACCCAAGTGGAAGAACCTGCTTAAATACTTTAGATGCCAGTAAATGAAGCAATGATTACAGAGTAACTTCAGAACTTTACTTCCTTTTGCGATATACAATTATTTCTCCCCCATTGCATATTTAGCAAAAAGTTTAAAACAAATTAAAACTACCATGATATCAGCTGCCAGATTTAGTTTTTAGCATCCTCATATTTTCTTGGGTTTCTAGGTTATCATCCTATCATTGATGACTCTACATTTTATTCCTCAATTAGAAGTGAAAACTAAATGTGGTGGATAGAAAACAATCAATTGCTAAACTGAATTTTATTGGTTCGTTCCTGAAGGATATAATTTTTTTAAAAGAAATGCTTTGCAGAAAAGAAGGTAATACATTCTAAGAACAAGGTCTGTGTATGTTCCCCCTGTTTTCTTGACATTACTGATGTTTAACCATTATGAAAGTCATACTCTGTCCTCTTCTAACCTTTCATCAAAACATATGGAAGGTTAGAAGAGGAAAGAGTACAATAAAAAGACCGATAATGTCACAGAGTGGCAAAAGTATTCTTCTACTCCCTCAGCTTAAACAGATTTGCTTCTTGCTCAGTTGCAGGCTCCCTAGCTTCAAAGCCCCTCTCCTTTTGCTCTGGTCCAGAAATGGTGCAGTAGGGAGTCAAGGAATGACACTCCATTCTGCAAAGTAGGCTTGGAGAAATCCTGTACAATTTCCAGGAAATGAGTACCACACAACCTCTTCTTAGTAGAGAAGAACTATAAGTTCTCTCTCCCCAGCTCAGCATTTCCTCCATGAGCTCCTGCAAACCTGGTTGCTCATTCCAGATTAGACTTAGTTGACTTGGTTGATATACCAAGTGCAGTTGATTAGTAAAGTGTGCCAGAAACTCTGTGTTGAGAAGAAATTCTAAGGCAGGATTGAGCAACACATGTGTGACACACTTGCTTTTCATGACCTAGACATTATCAACAGGAAGCTTATTAGATGATAACTCCATGGCTAATAACATAATGCAGGACTACTAGATTCATCTACTAATCCAAATATTTTAAAATTTAATGATAGGAAATATTTTGCCCAAGGCAAATTTTTTATCATCTGCTACATGTAGCGATTCACAGACTGTAATAGGATGTTAGGAAAAGACATGTAGTGGCTAATATGGTTTATGTAAAAGGTTTTTTTTTTTATCATCCAGCCCCAAACGTCAAGAAGTTATTTTAACTCATAAAAAGAACTTTTGTGAATCCATACTTACAGGATCCCCTCCAGAGGCAAACGAAATAGACTGCATATGATGATTTGCAATAATCTGAAAAACATAAACATGTATGCTAATATGAAGTAATCATTATTTCTAGTTATATACAGTGTAACAGTAATAGACATACATTTGTTTGTTTTGTTTTTACCTGATCAGCATCCCTTTGGAAACCACCCCACCTACGCTCTATAATAATCTCATTTAAACCATGAGATTCTGGTGATTTTGTAATGCCCATCTCACTGCCCTTGCCTGCCCAGGTGGAATATTATCTAGGGCTAGCCAATCAGAAAATACCATCTCTCTGGATACAGCAGAGCCAATCAATGTCTTTTGAGAAGAATTGAAATGAATAATAGGAGAGAAAGCATCTCTCTCTGCCATTAAAAACTATGTAAGCCCAAAGCTTCTGGGGGCCATATTATGCTGCTATGTGAGAAAAGTCTGCTGGAATATGAAGTTTTTCTTCTGATGAAAATCAGAACTGAGAACTAAAAATAGGAAAAAAAAGTCTGCTGGTAACATTTGTTCCATCACTTTAACCAATATATTTCACCCTGTCCCTTTATATTTTTGTTTATTTTTGCAAAAGTTAGTTTGAATTTGATTTCAGTCATTCACTACTAAATGTATCCTGAGCAAGGCACTAACATTAAGACTTCTAATATGAATAAGAATCACCAAGTAAAGTGCATTAATCAGCTAAGAAGACTGTCCCTTATTTGAGAGTCTAGGATTGCTTGTTTGGAAACCACAGTGTAATGACCATTTGCAGAGCCATATTTGTCATGCTATTTTGAAGGTTCATTAAAACACCAACTATGCACCTATTGACTAATCCTGTTTTCAGAATTGTGTGACAGAATCTACCAAAGCTGATTATATGAGATGACCAAGCAATTCTATTCCTAGATGTATATCCAACACAATTGTGTAAATATGTGCAACAAAAAATATTCTCAAAGAAGATAATAACTGCCCTGTTCATAAAGCCCTAAATTGGAAACAACCCCAATGATGACTATTGTAATATTCAAATGGTGGCATACTATATAGCAACAACATGTTTGTTGAGCAAAAGAAGCCTAATACAAAGAATATATACTGCATGGCTTAATTTATATGAAGTTCAAAACTAGGCAAAATTATGGTATTTGAAATCAGAATAGTGGTTATTTCTGGAGCACAGGAAGAAGGGGCAAACAGTTTTCCGGGATGCTGGAGTTTCTTGATCAGAGTATTGGTTATACAACTGTTCATTCTGTGATAATTATTATGGACTTATTATCTGTGTACTTGTCTACATTTATATTTCAGTAAAAACAAAGTCAATATACAAAGATCAATGTCATTCCCATATATCAACAATAGTTGGCCAGGCACGGTGGCTCACGCCTGTAATCCCAGCACTTTGGGAGGCCAAGGTGGGCAGATCACGAGGTCAGGAGATCGAGACCATCCTGGCTAACATGGTGAAACCCCGTCTCTACTAAAAATACAAAAAATTAGCCGGGCATGGTGGTGGGCACCTGTAGTCCCAGCTACTTGGGAGGCTGAAGCAGGAGAATGGCGTGAACCTGGGAGGTGGAGCTTGCAGTGAGCCGAGATCGTACCACAGCACTCCAGCCTGAGAAACAGAGTGAGACTGTCTCAAAAAACAAACAAACAAACAAAAGCCAATTAGACACTGTATTTGGGGGAGAAAGGTACACTTTGTAAGAGTACTTTAGTATAAAACTAATAAGAATCATGTAATGCTTTTTGGAAAACTTCATTGAAGAGTATAAATAAGACCTGAACAAATAGAAAGATATATATCACTTTCACGTATGAGAAGACGGTATGACAAAGGTGTCAATCCTACCCCAGATTAATTTATAAATTCCATGCAATCCCAATAAAAATGCTTCTAAAATTCACATGGAAGAATAAATGTGCAAGAGAGCTAAAGCAAATTTTAAAAGAACAAATGCATAAGAATTCCTTTATCAGATAAGAAATATTATAATATCATATTCAAGATGCCCCTAAATTCATATGAAAGAATAAATGAGCAAGAAGAGTTAGGGCAATTTTTTAAAGAACAAAGACAAAATATTCCTGATCAAACAGCAAGATATGAAAGTGTAGAAATTTCACAAGAATTCAAAGTCTAAAAATAGACTCATGTATTTAAGAACTTTTAGTCTATGATAAATGTGACACCAAGCAGCAGTCAGCCAGAAATTATGTGTCCATGGTGAGGAGAAATAGAGCAGAGGCTCCCAACTCCCCTGGCCACAGACCAGTACCAGTCTGTGGTCTGTTAGGAACCGGGCTGCACAGCAGGAGGTGGGCAGTGGGCGAGCGACAGAAGCTTCATGTGTATTTACTGCTGCTTCCTGTTGCTCACATTACTGTCTGAGTTCTGTCTCCTGTCAGATCAACGGTGACGAACGGTGACGTCAGATTCTCATAGGAGAATGAACCCTTTTGTGAACTACGCATATGAGGGATCTACGTTGCATGCTCCTTATGAGAATCTAATGCTTGATGATCTGAGGTAGAGCTGAGGTGGTGATGCTAGCGCTGGGGAGTGGCTGCAAATACAGATTAACAATAGCAGAGAGGTTTGATTGCACAGAGACCATAATAAATCAATTGCTTGCAGACTCATATCAAAACCCTATCAGTAAGTAGCAAGTGACACTTAAGCTGCATCTGGTGGCAGGCTACGTAGTGGCAAGTGAGTTGATGTACTTCAGTTTGTACAGCTGCAGCTGATGGCAGGCTTTAAGTCAGAATCTGACGATTTTAGTTTGTGCCTGGCCCGCCCATTATCTTATTTACCACTTCCAGCCATGTCTCTTTCCTGCACCGTGCACTTTCTCAGTCAGTTTTGGTAAGCCCATTAGCTAACCCTAGCCAAAATAAGTAAAAAACAAACTTCGCTGGAGAGCTTCTTTGAAAAGGGAGAAAGATCCACGATGAGACTGCAGAAGACTTTAAGGCTGCCAACAAAAACAAAGCTGCATTTAAAAGAAAATATCAAGAGTCCTACTTAAAATACCAGTTCATTACAACAGGTGATTCACATTCTCCAAGCTCACTTTGTATAATATGTAGCAAGTGGCTGTGTAACAAATCCATGAAGCCTTCTAAACTGCTTTGTCACATGGAGACCAAGCACCCTGCATTAATACTAAGCCTTTGGAGTTTTTCAAAAGAAAACAATGTGAACATAAAGAATAGAAGCAATTATTGAAGGCTACCACTTCATCAAATGTGTCTGCACTGAGAGCATCATTCTTAGTGGCTAACCACTTTGCTAAAGCTAAGAAGCCCTTTACTATTGGTGAAGAGTTGATCCTGCCTGCTACTAAGGACATTTGTCATGAACTTTTAGGAGAGGCTGCAGTTCAAAAGGTGGCATGGGTTCCTCTTTTGGCTAGCACCACAACTAGATGAATTGATTAAATATCAGAGGATAATGAGGTACAATTGTTAGAAAGGATTAATGAGTCACCGTGGTACACAATCCAGGTTGATGAGTCTACTGATGCTGACAACAAAGCAACAATGCTTTTTTGAGTGTGATATATTTTTCAGGAGGATGTGAATGAGGATACATTATATGCACTTTTGTTGCCAACCAGCACCACAGCTGCAGAACTATTCAAGTCTTTGAATAATTACATATCAGGAAAATGGAATCAGTCATTTTGCAACGGTATATGCATGGGTGAAGCAGTTGCCATGACTGGATGGCATTTTGGTTTCACTAATCAGGTCAAAGAGGTCGCTTCTGAATGTGAGTCTATGCACCGTGTCATCCATACAGAAATGATGGCTAGTTGGAAAATGTCACCTGAAGTTAACAACATTTTGCAGTATGTGATTAAAATTATCAACCATATTATACATGCCCTTCACTCACATCTGTTTGCACAGCTCTGTGAGGAGATGGACGCAGAGCACATAATGTCTTCTCTTATACACAGAAGTGAGATGGCTTTCTAAAGGTAGATCACCGGCCAGAGTTTTCGAGTTAAGAGAGCTGCTGCAGAGATTTCTTTTTAGAAAAACAGTCACCATTGGCAGCACATTTCAGTAACACAGAATGGGTCACAAAACTTGCTTACTTGTGTGACGTATTCAACCTGCTCAATGAACTCTATCCGTCACTTCAGGGAAGAACAACAACTGTGTTCAAGTTGGCAGATAAAGTGGCTGCTTTCAAAGCTAAACTGGAATCATGGGGGTGACAAATGAACACTGGGATTTCTGACATTTCAAACATTAGCAGAGATTTTGAAAGAGACTGAGCCAGGGTCTTCTTTCTCCCAGCTGGTGCATGATCACCTATCTCAGCTTTCCAGAGATTTTGAGCATTACTTCCCGTATTAGTCAGGGTTCTCCAGAAGGACAGAACTAATGGAATATATATACACATATATACATATACACACACATATATATACACATATATATATGTAAAGGGGAGTTCATTAAGTATTGACTCACACTATCACAAGGTCCCACAATAGGCCATCTGCAGGCTAAGGAGCGAGGAGAGCCAGTCCAAGTTCTAAAACTGAAGAACCTGGAGTCCGATGTTCGAGGGCAGGAAGCATCCAGCACAGGAGAAAGATTTAGGCTGGGAGGCTAGGCCAGTCTCTTTTCACGTTTTTCTGCCTGCTTATATTCTAGCCACGCCGGCAGCTGATTAGATTGTGCCCACCCAGATTAAGGGTGGGTCTGCCTTTCCCAGTCCACTGACTCAAATGTTAATCTCCTTTGGCAACACCCTCATACACACACCAAGATAAATAATTGTATCCTTCAATCCAATCAAGTTGACACTCGGTATTAACCATCACACTTCCCATCCACAAAAGACAGAATGGATCTGTGACCCATTTGTGAATAAGCCAGGTGAATCCACTTTGTCCATGCTAGAAGAGGATCAACTGCTTGATATTGCAAATGGTGGTGGCCTTAAAAGTATGTTTGAGACAACTTCAAATCTCCATACGTTCTCGATTAAAGTCAAGGCGGAATATCCTGAGATTGCCACAAAAGTACTGAAAAGTCTCCTTTCATTTTCAACATCCTATCTTTGTGAGGCAGGATTTTCCACAGTAACAGCAACCAAAATGAGATTACAGAATCCACTGGACATAAGGAACACACCTGGGGTGTCACCGTGTCTCATCACCGTCTAGTTGCAGGACCGTCTAGTTGCAGGAAAACAAGCTCAGGGCTCCCACTGATTCTACATTATGGTGAGTTGTATAATTCTACGTAACAACAATGTTATAATAATAGAAATAAAGTGCAGAATAAATGAAACGTGCTTGAATCCTTAAGTATACACAGTCATATAATTCATAGAAGTATATACAACTTAAAAGCAGAGGCTTTTAAGTTGAAGACAGGTAAAACATGTTTTTAAAAAACACACAAAATAGTATTTTGCTATGAATACATAAAGATACATGTAAATGCAAATAAAAAGAATTTAAAGAGTACACGCCGCGTTGGTAATAGTGGAAAAAAATACCTACCCGGAGAAAAGAAATGGGACCAAGTATTTCTTCGCTATAACTAAAAAAAAAAAAAAAAAAAAAAAAAAAAAAAAGGACAATATATATATCGTTTGTGAATTTAACTTTTTAAATGACAACACTAAAAGGACAGAATGGATTAGTTCTTAATATGCTGATCTGTGGTTATGGATGTTGTCTGGTTTGGAAACGTGGATTTAGAAGTCATCAGCACATAGATAAATTGCCCTGGGGAGGAGGAAGAAGGGAGGGGAGGCACATTAATGTTAGGAGGGCCATGTAAAGTTATTTTCCAGTTTGCTGCATCACAAGCAACAGTAGGGTTAAGTAACACAGAAACTGTTACGCTCTTGCCTACAGGGTCCCTAGATACCAAGTTCGAATCGACGGAAACTTAGCTCAAAAAGCGACGCCCACATCCCGGGAAAAACATTGAGCTACTCCAACCACAGTGGCGCGCCAAGCAGGAGGCGGTACCTGAGGACCACGCCTGCGCGCGGGGTTACGCAAGCGCGCAGCTTTTGCGCACGCGCACAAACGCACGGCCGCGCAGCATCTATCTTGCTGGAAGCTTTTTCCGAGAGGTTGAGCGGTTTGCATAATGTCGGAAATGGCCGAGTTGTCCGAGCTGTATGAAGAGAGCAGTGACCTGCAAATGGATGTGATGCCTGGCGAGGGTGACCTACCGCAGATGGAGGTAGGCAGCGGGAGCCGGGAGCTATCCCTGCGTCCCTCCCGCAACGGGGCCCCGCCACAGCTCGAGGAGGAAGGCCCAATGGAGGAGGAGGAGGCCCAGCCAATGGCGGCGCCAGAGGGGAAACGGAGCCTTGCTAACGGGCCCAACGCTGGGGAGCAGCCAGGCCAGGTGGCGGGCGCAGACTTCGAGAGCGAGGACGAGGGCGAGGAATTTGATGATTGGGAGGACGACTACGACTATCCCGAAGAGGAGCAGCTTAGTGGTGCCGGCTACAGAGTATCAGCTGCTCTTGAAGAAGCCGACAAGATGTTTCTGAGAACAAGAGAAGCAGCCCTGGATGGCGGGTTTCAGATGCATTATGAGAAGACCCCGTTTGATCAGTTAGCTTTTATCGAAGAGCTTTTTTCACTGATGGTTGTCAATCGTCTGACCGAAGAACTCGGCTGTGATGAGATTATTGATAGAGAGTAGTTACATGCTGTTAAAAGAGGAGGAAACTACTTGAGGAGGGACCCAACTTTCCGCTATCTTTTGGGTTCATTCCAAATAGTTTTGTGCCATTGAAAAACTTGACCTTCAAAAAAATTTGTTTTTCAGAATAGAAGACAATAGGACAGTGACTGCACAGTTGTGAAAAAGGAGAATCATTAAAGAAAAAGGAAAAAAGATTTTAAGACCGTTGAAATCTGTTATCAAGAATGTGCTAAAACACCTATGGCTTTGACTTTGTTATTGATCCAGATTATTTTCCTTGCATTGGGGAAAATATCTTTCATATTTGTTTGCTGTAAAGATGGTTTTGCAAGAATAAGTCATGACCAAGACAAACTGCCAATACAAGAGCCCACTGATATTAATTATATAATGAGAAAAAATGTATCCAACTAGGACACATATCTTTTGAGTTATTTGGACTGAAAGTTTAAGAAAACTTGGGAAATTCTATTTTGTGATCTAGTCAAGCCGTCGTTATCAAAGGCTAAATTTTCAGTGTAAGACAAATGAAGTATTCTTCATTATTCCAAAAGGATGAGTAAACTCAAAGATGTATCACATGTGCTCTGTATCTTAAGATGTGTTTCCAAGAGCGTCTGAAATTTTGTTTGTACATGTATCTTGATCATTTATAAAGCCACTGTGATATATAAATCAAGAAAATTCATTGTCATAACCATTTTTAAAAGTCAAAAATTAAGACATCTTTAATTAAAAACTTTCAAATCTAGACACTAAATGTGTGTGAATGTACAAAGAAACCATTGCTCACGCTGTTATATACTAGAGAAATTTTGTTTTGCTTGCTGTTTTAACTTGCAAGGTGAAATACTTTAGTTGAACTTCATATTGTAAGAACTGTTAATAAAAAGTTGTCAAGTAAAAAGCCCTATATCTAAAAAGACTTTATGAACAGTTATTCTATCAACTTTTAAAGGTTTTAAACCTACCCAGAAATTACCTTGGTATCTGAAGTTTCCCTCTGTCTCCTCCTCTAATTAAGCTTGTTATTTGTTATGCACCAGCATTGGAGATAATAAAATTTCTTGTTCTGTGTATTTTGTTTGGCTAATAATATTGTATACATACTTTATACTAGTTTTTATTGTATGTGTTAACCAGTATTAAGGGAAAATAATCCAGCTTCAGCTATCTAATTCACAAATTAATTTCTGGAAATTAAACTTTGTAAATTAAGTTTTTGCCCTACAAGAATTTGCTGGTCTAGGAAAACCTGCCCTATCAATGAGTATGTTGCCATGGTTACCTTACTAAGATGCTGAGGTTCTAGGAGAGTAATGATTACATCAGAAGGCTATGTTCAGCAAAATGAGTATATCAGCAGGTTTTATCATGATCAGTAAAAAGGTTCCAGATGCTTCTGCTCCATTATAGCAGTAAAGAACAAATATCCAATGCAACAGGACAATTCAGAGCATTATTTATTTTATGGTCATCCTGCCTTTTGGGGAGAGAGATCTGTAAAAGATAGGACTGTGACAAGGATGATCAGAATTGTTCAGACACTAGCTGGGTTGGGAGGGAGAGATGGTGGAAGTAAAGTGTTGGTGCTTAGACTTCTTAATCCTACCACTTCCACTGCTATCTCAATTAGCCTGTAGCTACGGTCAGATGAGTGTGGATAGATAATTAATTGCATGTGTGATGTAAATTAGTTTGGATGGGGGTATGCTAGTGCACAATAAACTGGCTGGTTGTATTTACCTCCAGATGTTTATCTTTACTAGGAAAGATAAACTCTTGGGGAAAAAAAATCTGACGTCCACAAACTAGAAGGTTGTGATTCTGTTTCTCTCTGGGACTAAGTAGGGCACAAGAGTTGGGGGTGGGAAACACTCCCTGTTACATCTGAAGGCCCATCTTGGGGAGAAAAACTTGGGCTCTGCAATTGGCTCGGTTGTTTTTCAGTCTTAAAAATAGGCAGTAAGCAGAGAGACAATGAAAATTGTAAATACTTATTTGTATTTATTGAGGATAGAAAATTAACATTTTAACACCCCTTTTAGGGGTGTAAAATCATTTGTATTTCCTTTACATGCAGTTACCACAGACAAACCAGACTACTTGGTTAAAATTTGGGTTCTACTATTTGTTAGCTCAGTAACTGGGAAATTAATCTCTCGGGCTCGGGTCCTGAACTGAAAATAGGGACAATTGGATGTACCTTACAAATTGTGAGGACTAAATGAAGATGTGTGTGAGAGTGTGTGTGTGTTTGTGTGTGTGTGTGTGTGTGTGTATCTTCATTTAAGGGAACTAGAGAAAGGAGTTCTGGGGAAATTCTAACTGATTTTGCAAGATAGGGGATTTAAAGAAGCTTTTGAGTACACAGTGTGATTAGGGAGAGTTTTGCAAATTTATCCATATGTATTACAAATGTTCGCTTAGATCAGATATCCCATGTTGGCTATCTTCAGGCCACAGATCTATTTTGTTTGGTTCATGCTTATAATTTTAAGAGACCAACATCTCAGTACAGAGATAGCAGCTAAAAATCTAGATTCTTACCTTTTTATTATTATTTTTTTAAAGTAAAAGATCTGGGAGCCTTTGACCTATAGACCTATGTAGCCCAAAACCAAACAGACAAAAAAGCAAACAAACAAACAAAAACATCTGATTCACCTTTAGACAAGGAAGGTGTTCTGTTTGCCAAGTGTCAGTGTTATCTCCCCAACATAGAGGCCAGGTAGCACTTGATATTTATCATTGGGCTTGCACCATTGTTTTTTCTTGTGCTTGCACAGCTTGCGTTACCTACTTGGCCTCTAAATATCTCAAGTTGCCTCTCCTTGTAGAGACTAAAGGATGTCTCAGTTTTTGCCTGTTTTACCTTAACTCTATTACCCTTCTGAATTCAGTATCTGTTAGAGTTGTAGAAATCAGTAAAGAATTAGTGGGAGTGTGAGCTACTGAGACTCTGACGTTTTTGCTTGAGGCCCTAAAATACTATATTAAAGTATGTCAATAAAGTCTGTCACTTGAATTTTGAAACAAGGAAATACCTATAACTTACCCTTGCAAAAGTGTATTTTCCCATCTTGAAATATGGTAATATTTAAAAATTGCAAGCATTACATGTTTAATATTTTCTGCCTCTGGAGGTTTGTAAAATATTTTCTGGGAACGAATGGTTATATTCTTGATGTTCTCAGTGACCAAAGATAAATGTGAACTATCTGTTCCATAAATGCTATCATCTATGAATATATCCATAAACTTGAACCTTTGTTTTTAGTCCAAAGTATATCTTAGAAATTAAGTGGGGATGGGGAAAGCATTAATATTTCTTTGTATTTATTTTAGAACTTCCAGTGGTAGCGTTAAGGATTTAATTAATCCTTTTCTTGTGCTGTATCCACAAGGTCTCTAATCTTCGCTGTGTTCATTTCTTAAACATTTTAGTTGCCTTTCTCACAAGACATAAAGCTTCTTGAGTTGAGGCCTCTACAGTGGCACATCTCTCCCACCTTCCAGCCATTTCCCCTAGGCCTGCAGAAAAGCTCAAAATAGTTATTAAAAATCAGCCCTCAGGTCTGAGATAAATGAGATCTTAACTTTGGTCCCCACTCCAGCAGTGGGCTGAATACAACCCCGTTCCATGGCACCAGTGCAGAAAAGATGTGGATTACTTTAAAAGGCACATCATATTACTACAGTTACTGGTAATGAAAATCACCCGTTATCCTCACCTCTGTTTTGCCTGAAAGGTTATGGATGGGTAGTAATACTTTGCCCTAAAGAAGGGTACTGAAGGGGAAAGAGAGACTGAGAATAAACTCTGCCCCACCACATACACCACAATCCCATTCTTCATAAATTCCTCATTCATTTCAGGAACCCCACAGAAAGGGTCATCTTAAAAAATGATCATTAGATTCTACCCAAAAGGCTGTCATTATGATGGCTTCAGCTTTGCCCACTCTTCCTCCCTTACAAAACTCCGAGATAATCTGAGGGCTCCTCTACTTAGTGAGATTTCATAACTAAAAGCATTGAACTTTCGTAGTACCATCCGTGTGAATGAAAACTAAAAATAAATTTTGCATCTACATATGTACTGAAGTCGAAATGTCAGAATGACTGAATGAATGTTTTACCACTCATATGTGTCATGTCTTCCAAGCACAGCCCAAAATGTTATGCTCTCTTTACACCAATGGCATCACCACTCTTGGAAGATCAATCAGGACCCAACTAGACAAGAATTTACTTGTAACTGTTTCATGTTAGCACTTTTCCTCTAAGGTGTTGTATACTACTGCTTAAACAGTGTATTTTATACTGTTTTTTAATTTAGAAAATAAAATAGCCCTCAAAACCTGTACTTATATGTTACTGATAATTTTATAATCTTATAATATGTTCTTCCTATTAAGTACTGAGTATATGAAAAGGTCTCTGAGAATATTTGAGTAAATAATAATAATAGGTATTATGTGACTGGCACATATATAATTTACATCTATTATCTCATTGAATCCTCTAAACAGACCTATGAGACACTTAAAATCCATCCTCTCAGAAACCTTATAAATAAGTACCATAATCCTCATTTCACTGATGAAGAAAACTGAAGCCCAGAGTAGTAGAGTCACTTGCTAGTAAGTGGTAAAGCCAGCATTTCAACCCATATGTAACCTCAGAGCTTTTAGCATGTTATTATTATTAAGTACACATTAAACCTTGATCAACAGCACTCCACACAATAAAACCTTAACTGTAAAGAAACTTGAATCACAACATATTAGACAAAGAGGAAAATCAGATCTGAACACACATACATAACCTGATAGAAGGAATTTAGTTTAAAAAATTAAAAGCAAGCCAAACAAAATGTCCTTGTTAAGGTACATATTTAGCCCAATGCCTACGTAAATTCTACATTTGCTTCAGCAATGCTGTTCTTTGAGAAATGAGGTTCACAATGAAAACTTAGGCACACCACAGTATCAAAAATTATTAAGGAAGAAAGCATTCTCTTTTATACAATACCATTTTAGAAAGCTTCTCAACCACAAGAATTGGAAGAAAATATTTTCTGCTTAAATTTCAGTTTGCTAGAACACTAACCCTAACATCACCTTTCCCGTTTGTGCCTCATCTGCACCCTGGCCCAACACACAGTCTGTCAGTTGTGATAATGGAATTGCTATCCATTTGGGGAGGGTTGGTGGAGACATCAATGATCAATTTAAGGATATGAGTTGCTAAATGATATTTTCTATGTTCTTTGCACCTTAGTTCTTCATTCAAAGCCAGTTAGGTAGGGGCACGTATGTAGGTGGTTACATGCCCCAGTGATGGGTTGGTAATGCTGTTGTTCTAATGATTGTTATGCATAAATCTTCAGCAGATTTTTCCCTTGTGCTGTCTTAAGTTGTAGGCATACTCTGTCTAAAACTTTATTCTTTTCATTATCCCCAGGCTTCTGTGGAAAAATAGATACGTTAAACTATAAATGACATTTGTGATCTTACCTGTTGGTTGTCAAGATTCATCAGTGTGAGACTGCATGTTGAGATGGTCAGTTTTATATTCATTCCTGAAAACTGAAGATTACTTTTGCCAAGAACTGTTGATAGGAACTTAACTGGAGGCTTTAAAAATTAAAGAAGAAAAACAAAACACTGTCAGGAATTTTGTCACAGAATGAATGTTAATGTTTTTTAAATGTTAAAAATGAGTCAAAGTCCAAACTCTTCCTTTCTATTTTACCTTATATAAATCAAATGAAAGGGAATGATTTTTATTAAATAAACATTTTTTTAAAATCAGAATGCAGCAAATTCTTTATTAAGTAGTGAAATTTAGGGCCTCAGAACTTTCTCCTAGTTTCTCTCCTCCCCAGGTGCTGGGAGTGGACTCCTGCTTGAATGTAAACAAATTCCTGTGAGAGTTTAGACCAGCTGAACTCTTGCGTCCTTTTCAATACGGCAAATCTAAAAGAAGAAAAATTTGACAATCCACTGAATCTAACGCCACAGAAGGCATTGATGAACTCTCCAGTTACACAACTGCTTCCTTCTCTGAAGCCATCCCTGTTCCTCCCTCATCTTTCCCTTGCCAGAGTTAAAAAGTCCTCTCTACTAGTCTAATTGTTACCTTCAGATAATCATGATGCCTGAAATTCTAACATTGGGCATTCTTTTAGGTTAAATCGTTGTTTTCAGAAGGTCCTAATTGTTAAAATGAACAAATATTACTAGGAAGGCGTTAGCCCCTTCCACATTAACTCATTAATAAAGATGATTTACCAGAAATTACTAATAGAGATTTAGAAGAAGATCCTGAGGAAAGGGATATGTTTTTTTGTTTGTTTTGTTTTTGTTTGTTTGTTTGTTTTTTGAGACGGATTCTCGTTCCGTCGCCCAGGCTGGAGTGCAGTGGCGCGATCTGGAAAGGGACATGTTTTGATAGAAGTCAAAATTCTGGACCAGGCATTTCTCAAGAAGAGGAGGTGTGGGGGTTTGGTGAAGAATCATGAGAGTAGGGGGTACCCAGGAATTATAAAGAAAAGCACTGGGGTCATATGTCCACAAAGGCATACCAACAGGGGGGCGAGAGGGTGGGCTGGTAGATTTCCTCAGGCAGAAATGCCACTTACCAACTGATGACCTTGGACAAATAACCTTTCTAAGCCTCAATTTCCTTTTATATAAAAAGTGCGGGGAAAACAGTAGCCACATCATAAGGGCTGTTGTGAAGATTAATAACTGGAGAACATTTAGCACAGTATTTGGCTAGGTACATGAGAGCTATTATTATTATTATTATTATTACTTATTTTTGCCCTTCCCAACATTAAAAATTCTAAGAAATAATTTGAGAGATTTAAATGCTTTGATGGATGCTTGGATTAAGTCCTGAAATCCTCTGCTGGAAAGTGGACCAGCTGATGGAAATCAGTGATTCCTCAGCATATGAATCAATACTTTGAGGCAATCAGTGAAAACACAATTTGTTTCTGTCCTAGTTTTGCTCTCATTTGATTCATTCTGGAGCCATACCAAACTGTTAAACACATACTGTTGAAATTTTTTCTTTTTTTTTTTTTGAGACGGAGTCTCGCTCTGTCGCCAAGGCTGGAGTACAGTGGCCGAATCTCAGCTCACTGCAAACTCCGCCTCCCGGGTTTACGCCATTCTCCTGCCTCAACCTCCCGAGTAGCTGGGACTACAGGCGCCTGCCGCCTCTCCCGGCTATTTTTTTTTTCGTATTTTTTAGTAGAGACGGGGTTTCACCGTGTTAGCCAGGATGGTCTCAATCTCCTGACCTCGTGATCGGCCCGTCTCGGCCTCCCAAAGTGCTGGGATTACAGGCTTGAGCCACCGCGCCCGGCCACACTGTTGAAATTTAATGTACAGTTTTATTTTTAATTCCAAGCTCATTCTAAAATGTAGTGCAAACAATGTGAGGAAGGAGCCCTAAACCTCACAGCTATTACCACATCATAAAGCTGACTCTTGGTCTACTTTCTTTGCTTCTTACACGGCTCTGGGCAAAGCGAGCCTCACAATTCAGGGATTTTGTGTTCCCCGCAGCGATTTTATTAACAGCAAGTTGTTCATTTGCTTCTCTAGAGTTTCTTTTCCATGCTAGTTTAAAAAGTATTATTAAGAGGCCGGTGCGGTGGCTCACGCCTGTAATCCCAGCACTTTGGGAGGCCGAGGTGAGCAGTTCACGAAGTCAGGAGTTGGAGACCAGCCTGACCAACATGGCGAAACCTGTCTCTACTAAAAACACAAAAATAAGCCAGGTGTGGTGGCGTGTGCCTGTAATCCCAGCTACTCAGGAGGCTGAGGTAGGAGAATCACTTGAACCTGGGAGGCGGAGGTCACAGTGAGCCGAGATCATGCCACTGCACTCCAGCCTGGGCAATAGAGCAAGACTCTGTTGCTCAAAAAAAAAAAAAAAAAAAAAATATATATATATATATATATATATGAAATGCAAATTAAATTATAACACTATCTCATAGTTGAAAAGCATTTTGTTATCTGTAAAGAATTTTTGTATAAGTCATCTTAATTTTGTTCTCACCATAACCTTAATCTCGTGGGATATGCCCAAAATGTATTTATTATATAGGAGACAAAGTCTTTCATGCCATTATTAGAAATGTCCTAACAGTTAAAAGACCCATGGAAGAGAAAGGAGTGGAAAGCACACAGGATGGGCAGTGAGGCAACTGGAATTCAAGTCCCAGGTGTGATCCTAACTTGTCAAGGGACCTTAGACAACTCTGGAACCCCCTCAATGTCTTTGTTTACAAAACAGGAGTAATACTATCACTTCCATTCTTCCACCTCTAGCAATGGGAGGTCTTAGGAGAATCAAATTTAGTATTAATAATAAAGTATATGGAAATGCACAGTATACGGCAAAGTGCTAACAAACTGTAGTGATTATAATTACTACTTTCAAAATGAATTTTGGCAATTTTGCTACAGGATTTCTTCTTCAAGAAAGAGATAGGGGAGAAACTGTAGACCCTGGCCTTGGGAGAGGTCATTATGGGAATGAGAGGAGAAAGGAACAGAAAGGGGAGGCTGAGGATGGGATACTGACCAACTTTTACAAAAGAGTGGAGGCAGACCTGGCAGAAGTGCTTATCCATATTTTACAAAGAGAAAAGCATTAAGATAGGGAAACATTAATTGACTGTATCTGGGTCAATTTATTGGTACTGACATAGCAGCCTAGCTCTTCTTACTCCATATGGCATAGTCTCTCAGGAATCCCCAGTTCTTTCAGTTATTCATTAACTTTTAGACTTCAAAACTCATAGGAGATCACATAAATAGATAAATCATTTATCCATTAGCACTCCAAACTGCTAATGATGCAGTATCTAACAGACCTAAGGAATCAAACAAAGATCTGACTATATTCAACTGGCCCTACATCGTTTTTTGGCTCTCTCCCTGCAGGGCAGATGCTTGGCAAAAGGGCAGATAACATCGTGATTAAGTGTGTAGATGCTGGACCAGACTACCTGGGCTTGACCTAGCTCCTCCACACACTGACTGGGTCACTGAGCAAGTTACTTAACCTCTTGGGGCCTCAGTTTCCTCATCTGTAAAATGGGGACAAACAATAGCACTTGTGGCTAGGTTTTTTGTGATGATTAACAAAGTATAAAAACCACAGCATTCCAAAACTTATGGGATGCAGTGAAAACAGTGAGTGCTAGGAGGAAAAATCATAGATATAAACACTTTTATTAAAAAAGCAGAAAGATCTCAAGTCAAAAACCTAACATTGTAACTTAAGGAACTAGAAAAAAACAAAACCCAAAGCTAGCGGAAACAAGGAAATCATAAAGATTAGAACAAAGATAAAATAGAGAATAGAAAAATAGAGAAAATTAATTAAACCAAAAGTTGGTTCTTCCAAAAGATCGGCAAAACTGGCAAACCTTTAACTAGATGAATTAAGGCAAAAAAGAGAAAAGACTCAAATTACTAAAATCAGAAATGAAAGTGAAGACTTTACTACCAATTCTACAGAAATAAAAAGGATTATAAGAGACTACTGTGAACAATTGTATGCCAACAAGTTGGAGAACCTAGATACAATGGACAAATTGCTAGAATACCTATCAAGACGAAATCATAAAGAAACTGAAAATGTGAATAGGCTTGGTGAGAATATGGAGAAATTAGAACCCTTGTGCATTATTGGTGGGAGTGTAAAATGGTACAGCTGCTGTAGAAAACAGTATGGTAGTTCCTCAAACAATGAAAAAATAGAATAACCACATGATCCAGCAATTCTACTTCTGGGTATATACCCAATATAATTGAAAGGAAGGTCTCTAAAAGATTTTGTAACTCACGTTCATAGCAGCATTATTCATAATAGCTAAGCTGTGGAAGCAACCTAGTGTCCATCTACGGAAGAATGGATAAGCAAAATGTGGTCTATACATACAACGCAAAATTATTCAGCTATAAAAAGGAAGTAAATTCCGACATCTGCTATGACATGGATGAACCTTGAGGACATTATGCTAAGTGAATTAAGCCAGTCATAAAAGGACCAATACTGTATGATTCCACTCATATATAGTATCTAGAGTACTCAAAATCATAGAGACAGAAAGTAGAATTGTGGTTGCCAGGGTCTGGGGAGATAGGGGACTGGGGAGTTACGGTTTAATGTGTAGAGTTTCAGTTTTGCAAGATGAAAAGAGTTCTAAAGATGGATGATGGTGATGGCTGCACAAAAATATGAATGTACTTAATATCACTGAACTGTACACTTAAAAAGGGTTAAGATGAGGCTGGGAGTGGTGGCTCATGCCTATAATTCCAGCACTTTGGGAGGCTGAGGTGGGTAGATCACTTGAGGCCAGAGAGTTAGAGACCAGCCTGGCCAACATGGCAAAACCTCATCTCTACTAAAAATACAAAAATCAGCCAGGCATGGTGGCACATGATTGCAATCCCAGCTACTCGGGAGGCTGAGGCATTGAGAATTGTTTGAACCCCTGGGAGGCGGAGGTTGCAGTGAGCCGCTGGACTCCAGCCTGGGTGACAGAGTGAAACCGTCTCAAAAAAAAAAAAAAAAAAAAGGTTAAGATGGTAAAGTTTATGTTATGGATATTTTACCACAATAAAGTGGAGAGAAAAGAAAAGAAAAGAAAAAGGGGTAAAGTGCTGGAAAGAGTCCCTGGCACATATTAAGTACTCAATACATGCTAGCTATTGGAGGAAACCAGCTGCTTTTCTGTTTTTCTCTGCAAGTGTACTTTCCGGATAGATGATAGCCAGGTTTGCTTTGTTTTATTTTGGGATGGGGAATCCCTGCTCCTTAGATGAGAAAATCTTGCCTGTTAGTTGGAATCATCCAGTTGAAGCATTCTAATCAGAAATTATGAGAAGCAGGAAGAGGTTAGAGATTACTTTGGAACCATGGGTTCTGTGAAAGAAACTAGTCATAGGGAGTCCTTAATAGAATTTAAGAGCCATTTGTCAGAATGTTTCATACCATGTGGGTTCTCTGAGTCACTCTGGGTGACACTGGTTCAGCCCTATGTAATATAATGAAGAATGATAACCGAAAACAGGGCAGAATGGTATAGAAATAGAACCCTAAGCTGGGAATCTGAAGACTTGGCTTCTACAGCTGGCTCTGACCTTAATCACCCTAGTGACTCAGACAAATACCATCTCTTGTCTCAGATTCAGTTTAGTAGCTGGCAAAATGAAAATGTTAGACCAGAAGATCTCTTTAAAAACCCTTCTCGGCCAGGTGTGGTGGCTCACGCCTATAGTCCCAGCACTTTGGGAGGCTGAGGTGGGCAGATCATGAGGTCAGGAGATTGAGACCATCCTGGCTAACACAGTGAAACCCTGTCTCTACTAAAAATACAGAAAAATTAGCCAGGCTTGGTGGCAGGCGCCTGTAGTCTCAGCTACTCAGGAGGCTGAGGCAGGAGAATGGCGTGAACCTGGGAGGCGGAGCTTGCAGTGAGCCAAGATTGCGCCACCTCACTCCAGCCTGGGCGACAGAGCGAGACTCCGTCTCAAAAACAAAAAACAAAAAAACAAAAAGCCAAACAAAACAAAAAAACCCCTACACTTAAACAGTCTGCAATTCTATATGATTTATATAGTTATCTTAAGAGCTTTTGTATCGGCCCTTTGGACTTTTCAAACCAACAAAATATTCTAGGGCTCACAGCTTAATAGCAATAATACTAGCTACCATTAACACAGAAAGTGTAATAGATGCCAGACGCCGTGGTAGGTAGTATGTAGACATCACTTCATTTATTTCTTACATAACCCTATAAAGTAAGTGCTATTTTCTCCCATTTTACAGATGAGTAAACCAAGGATCCAAGAGGTTAAGTGACTTGTCCAAGAGTACACCGTTTGTAGGTGGCTGAGGCAGGACTTCAATCCGAGTCTGTCTAACATCAAAACTTTTGCTTTCTTTCCACAGGGAAAGCTACTCTACCCATGCGTTATTAGCTCACCTTTACCGCTATCCATATTTATACTAGAAAACAGGCCAGGAAGCCTAAAAGGTCTAAAATGTTGTAATGCAGAATACATACATTATAAAATGTGGAAACTGGAAGGCACTAAACTGGTCATTTAGTTCAACTCCCTAACTCCACACTCCACAGGAAATAAGAACGGAGTCTCAGCAAGATGAGATTCCATGCTCCCTGGTCAGTAAGAGCCAAGTCCGGCACCCTACATTTCTGACATAAAGCCCAGGGGCTTTCTCCCCTCTGCAGCTGGAGGCATCGCCACGTCAGACAGCCTCGGGCAACTCGGAAAGATTTGAGGGAGAAGAGTAGCTTTGAGTGCAGCTCTGATATCATGCCACCTAATAAAGGCCAGGCTGGACTTTGGGTCATATGGTGGGATGAACTAACAGCGATTTTCATACTCTCTTTGCCATCATGAGGGACACAAAGCAAGAAAACCACCGCAACATTTACCTTTCGCTTTTTAATGGCTCCATTTGCCCCGGGGACAGCTTCACACAGGCGACTTATTGCTTCCCTAAAGAACAGAAACCATACAAATAAAGACTTAGCATACTACCTCCACACAGTAAGTGTTTAAGAAATGTTAGAAATTATCACTACCAAAAAGTACACATACATAATAGTGAGTCCAACACACATGATATTCTCCCAGCCCCACAGGAGGAAATGCTGTACTTACTCCTTCTGCAGGAAAACCTAGCAGCACCCTAACAGTGAACAATCGCTTCACAACAAGGAGCTCCACTGTTCGCTTTTTTCATCTCTGTTTTTCCTTGGATTTTCAGATTTTGGTTTTTGTGTTGTTGATTTTTAACCAAAAAGGAGGGGCAGGGCATTGTCATCTGGAAATACTTTGCAGTGTTACCTCTAGCAAAATCATCTCTGTAATGTTATGAATAAAAAGCTTCATAGTATCTCAGAACTAAAGACAATTAAATACAAAAATAACCTGACACTAGAGGAAATTTAAAAGGATCGAGAGAATGTTGAACTTCAAGGTGGTCTCAGATGGAGTTTTATTGACTAGGTTGCTGCTACAAGCCATTGAGCTTTCATGTAATTTCACAGAAGAAAAGAAATCAATATCAAATTTCCTCCTTTGCTTACTTTTCTGCCCTTCCTATATATTGCGCTTCCTGAGAGAAAGGCACCGCTAAAATAAGTAGTTAATGGAAGTGGTGAAGGAACTGGCGCCCTCCTTTCCAGAAATGCAGTTAAAACTAAAAGCTTTTGTCTCTGGGACTCTGAGCATTCATAACTGCCCAAGCTTTCACTCTGTGTAATCTGAACCTTAGCCTTGTGGCTTTGAACACATATATTAAACTTTTCACAAGGCAAATGAAAATCTCTTCCGGATTCCCCAGAGATCATTGTTTAAATTAATAAACTATATTCTCACACACACGCACACCCCAACACACATACACATGCAACACTATTATAGTTTTTATATTATATTTCACAATAGTATTTTCTAAAGTTTAGATTCCCAAAGGAAGTGGGGAGACGTCAGAGAGAGGAATGCAAACCCATTTTTGTTTTGTTTTGTTTTGTTTTTGTTTTGAGACGGAGTCTCACTCTGTTGCCCAGGCTGGAGTGCAGTGGCACAATCTTGGCTCACTGCAAGCTCCACCCTCCAGGTTCACGCCATTCTCCTGCCTCAGCCTCCCGAGTAGCTGGGACTACAGGCGCCCACCACCACGCCCGGCTAATTTTTTTGTATTTTTAGTAGAGACGGGATTTCACCATGTTAGCCAGGTTAGTCTCGATCTCCTGACCTCGTGATCTGCCCGCCTCAGCCTCCCAAAGTGCTGGGATTACAGGTGTGAGCCACTGCGCCTGGCCATGCAGACCTATTTTTATAACTATAGCTATGATAGGTTGTAGTGCAGAGCAATGATCTTCTAGAAAATACTTTTGAAAGATAATTAGAATTCCCAAAGATTCTAGGCATTATTTTGCACTTATAAATGTATGTTTTAGCTCAGATCATTTTTTCTATATAAATGAAACTCTTTTTCAAGGTATTATCTTGTTAGATTTTTGTATAATTATCTGCAATCAAAGGATAGAATGGATCTTTGGTTAGCATATATTCTCAGGATTTCATATTTATTGTTTCTCTAGGATTCTATCCTTTGTTCTCCGGAGTCAAATAGAAGGATAACACAGAGAGTTGGGCTCTCTGGCTTGGTTGGTTGATTGATGTTTTGAGTCATCTTAATGATTACTCAATAATTGATAAGACTCATAATTAATCCAAACTGGCACTGATACTGCCAAAATAGCTAGTCCAGGCACCCCACTATATTGACAGTATTTAATAAAGAGGTATTATAAGATAGGGCAGATCCTTTACTCCATGAGAGTGATTTGGATATTTTGGTCTAAAAATACAAAAAATTAGCCAGGCGTGGTGGCAGGCACCTGTAATCCCAGCTACTTGGGAGGTTGAGGCAGGAGAATCACTTGAATCCGAGAGGTGGAGGTTGCAGCAAGCCGAGATCACGCCATTGCACTCCAGCCTGGGCAAAAAGAATGAAACTCTGGTCTCAAAAAATAAATAAATAAATAAATAAGTTGACTATAAATGATGTGAACTTAAAGTAAAAACAAAGGTGAATATTGATGTTGCCAAATATAATAACAACAACAATAATAATATAACAATAATTATATGCCAACTATAGTAACTTTTTATTAGAAGTTGTTACTTTTATATAGCAACTCATAATTTCATAAACTGTTTTCCCACACATTTGTTTTTTTGATTCTCACACCAAGTATCAATGTCTTCTAACAAAAAGTAATGCAGTGAATTTAAGTTGAAGGGAATACTTTACAGCATGAATACCTCTCAAGGAGGTTTTAAAAGGATGAACCTTCCTGGAAGGGAGGGGATTAGAATTTCTCGACAGACAGAAGAACATAGGTGAAGACACCAAAACACAAAGTATCATGATATGAGGGGAATTACAGGTACTTTCATATTGCTGGAGCATAACATATGGTAGAACAAGAGTGAATATGAACTAAGAGATAAGAGTCTAAATACTGTTTCTGTGAAGTGCCGGACAGTCAATATTTCAGACTTTGCTCTTTTGCAAGTACTCAACTCTGCTATTGTAGTGCAAAAAGCAGCCTTAGACAATATGTAGACAAGTGAGCATGGCTGTGTTCCAACAAAACTTTATAGAAACTGGTGGCTGGCCAGATCTGGCCCATGGGCTACAGTTTCTTGACCCGTGGATCCAATAATTCACACAAAAGGAGAGAGAAATCATTCGGTTTTTTAAGATGGGAAAATATTCACATTCATTATAATTTTAAAATTGAAAATTAAAACAACAAGATACTTCACTCATTAAATTAGGGAAAAAAAATACAAAACCCAGTGTTGGAAAAGATGGGAAATATTCTGCTTTAGGCATATTTATCAATTGCCAGGGGCCTCGGTTAGTATTAATACAATCTTTCTAGAGAGTAATTTGGTAAAAGTTGACAAATGTCAAAATTTCTCAGAGCATGGGCGGGGCGTGGTGGCACACACTTGTAGTCCCAGCTACTTGGGAGGCTTGCTTGAGCCCAGGAGTTCAAGGCTGCAGTGCCACTGCACTCCCGCCTGGGTGACAGAGCAAGACCCTGTCTCTAAAAACAATTTGTTTAAATAATTTATTACAGCCTTTGACAAGGTGGGGAGAAGCCTGTATTGGGATAGCATTGAGTATATAAGTAAAAAAACACTTCACATAAGAAACCAACCCAAAGTCTTGCGATATAGAGATAAAACATATCAAAATGGATATTGCCACTTGGACTATAGAAATATGAAGAAGTCTATAGAAATTAGTGTGAAAAAGTAGAACTTGTAACAGTATGTACACATACTGTAGCAGCTATATCAAATTAATCCTGTGTAAATAGTAATGTAGAGAAAGCTTATGAACTATGGCTTGGTTTTAGGTGTTTTTTGTGTGTGTGGTTTGCTATTTCATTTCTGATTCTACTGGTGTTTAGATATAAACAAGGTAAACAATGTTATGTTTTACTTTCATTGTGCACTTGATTGGATAAGTAATCCTTTAAAATATTGAAAATAATGCATAGTAAATTCCTTCAGCAGGAGTTTTGCTAGTGTGAGGCAAAGGTGTTGAGATGTGAAGGCACATCAAAAATGTCCCAATGGAGAGGTGACACCCATAGAGAGATCGGACAATGTTCATGTTATGGATACTAACAGGTGTTCTTTATTTCTCTCTCTGCTCCCATTCCAACTTAGCTTTTAACCCCTCCATCTTTGTAGCCACTAAATCCATATTTCCTTTTTCAGTTTTTTTAAATAGAGCTACCTGTTTCTATTCCCAAAAGTTTCAAAAAGATAAAAAATCTTGAGTGCATTTAGTAAAGCCTTTTAGAATGGTACACCTTGCAGTAGCAGCGAGCCCAAGCTTCAGTGAAAGGACAGCCCCCATTTATATTTATTTAATTTTTTGTTTTTGTAGAGATGGGGTCTCACTCTGTTGCCCAGGTTGGAGTGCAGTGGTGTGATCATAGCTCACTGCAGCCTCAACCTCCTTGGGCTCAAGCAATCCTCCCACCTCTACCTCCCATGTAGCTGGGACCACTACAACTGGCAAGCACCACCATAATTGGCTAATTTTTTCTTTTCCTTTTTTATTTCGTGTAGAGACAGTGTCTCCCTATGTTGCCTGGGTTGGTCTTGAACTCCTGGGCTCAAGTGAGACTCCCACCTCAGCCTACCAAGGTTCTGGGATTAGAGGTGTGAGCCATAGCTCCTGGCCAGCCCCTATTTACTAAGCACTCTCTATGGTCAGGCTCAGAAGTGAACACCTTATGTACATCATTTCATTGAGTCATAACAGTATCATTCCAAGGTACGGACTTCACCCTCATTTTACCAATGAGGATACTAAAGTTCAAAGAATTTAAATAACTGTGTACAAATAAGGCAATTGACAGTGGGAGAGACAGAATGCAAATCCACTTCTGACTTCAAAACCCACAAGCACTGGGAAGGAACCACTTTGCCAGATGGATGAAAAGGAGGGAGTCGTAGGCTCTAGAGGCTAGGGGAAGTAGTATATTGACTGTCCTTCCCTTGCTCACTCCCCTAACACAGTGAGGGGAGGCTCTTTGGCCAATCGCTAACACCAGTGTGGCTGGGGTAAACTACCCAGGCAAAAGGACAAAGTGGTAGGGGCTGACTCTTCTTAGAAAAGACTTACTCGGATGCCCCTGCCCTGCCCCAGCCCTCTGCTGTCTATGCGCTGGCTGCCACCTCCTGGAAGAAACGAGCATCTGGAGCCAGGCTCTGCCCACATGGGCAACATACATGAGTACGCACTCACACGCTCACTCAGGACTGCATATTTGAGGCGTGTGAGGCTTTACAGAGCCCCCAAAATCTCTTGATGTACAAAACTCTGCTCAAAAGAAAAAAAGGGGAAAATTTGGGTTTATGAACTTGCTTTAAAAAGTAATTATCAGCCAGGC